TACAGGACTCGTTGGGACTGGAGGACTCCCCGAGACTATTGCCTTGAGATACTCTTCAAACCTTGAACAGAAACTAACCTGGTACCTAAATAACAAACTGGCTCAAAAAAAAAAAAAAAAGAATATCACCCCTAAGTACTGTGCTCCTTTAAAAAATCATCTATAGAAGACCAAACGGTCAACCATTACTTTAACACAAAGATGAGAATGTAAGGCGGGCAGGGAAACTACATTAATGGAAACGGAACAACCAGAATGGAAATAATGACAACACTCATACATTGTGAAGAATGCAACCAATGTCACTGAACGACCTGTGTAGAAACTGTTGAATGTGAACACAAACTGCTGTGTAAACCTTCACCAAAAATACAATAATTATTTTTTTAAAAAAAGGTAGAGTCATTCACCAGGAAAATTCATGAGTTATATAGTTGTTCATAAACTAGGAGAGAAAACAGGTGTTTTTCTGTTGGCAATTTGTTAATATTCACAGAGCCCACAGGACTCTCTGAAACAGATCAACCAATAAGAAAAAACGTACCTTTTTGGGTAAAAGGTATTTTAAAATTTGCATTTTAGATGGCAAAAATAAAGCAAAGAACTCTAAGGCTATAAAGCATATGGTTCTTGAAATCCAAGTAAATTGGGAGGATAACCAGCAAACCATTAATGATAGCTATCTCTTGGGGGTACCATTAGTTTTGATGTTCATTTTGTTCTTTTAATGTATCATTCTGTATTTTCTAAATTCTCTACGTGAATGTATATTGTTTTGTAATTAAAACATAGTCAACCTGCTGCTTTTTGAAAAAAAATCCTGACTCCTCTGAGACTTTTTTTAATGCTGGCCATCTATGCTAAAAAAGCAAGGTGCCGAGAAAAGAATTTATTCTTTGACTTTGAGAATAAAGAAGTAAAACTCTGTTTCATTGCCACCATCTGTATTTTAAATTTTACATTATTTTAAATCTTAATAACAAAAGAAAATTACTTTGAGCAGAATCATAGTTTAATTCTTTTCTTTTACAGACTGAAAATAAAAACTTGGTATGCCTATGGCCAAGTGTGTCTGCAAATCTGTTCTCCACAGTGGCCACCAGGGGTCACTACTAGGATGCCTCATCCAGGTCAAATCGCAGTATAAACCTTCATGACTTAGAAAGTACTTGTGTAATTGTGACTATTTTTGTGTAAATATTAGCTTCTACTTTCTTTGATTCAGACAGTTCATCTGAATTAGTAAGCCTTTTTGCAGAGAATGACAATGTACAGGGAGTTTCAGAGAAAAGAGAATGTTCTAGCATTGCAGTTTTAAAACGTCCCTCAGACTGCTACATAATAATTTGGGGTACTTAAAAACAAACTTCTGGAGCCCAGGCCCCAAAATTCTGATTTGGTAGGTTTGGGATAGGACTTAAGATGCTGTATGTTTCACAAGCTCCCCAGGTGATGAAGATGCGCACAGCCAGTGATGGGAACTGCTCACTACTAGATGGTACGTGCATTATACACAGCATAGGTAACCATAAAGACTTCTGTTTCCGTTCCTGACTTATCAACCAACTGGAAATGTCACAATGAAATATATGAGGACCAAAATATCAGCCTTAGATACTTACTAATCATTATGTTGCTGTTGTTAGGTACCTTTGAGTCAATTCCAACTCATAGCAACCTTATAGGACAGAGTAGAACTGTCCCAGGCTACAAATCTTTACAGGATAAATAATCAACCATATGAGACCAAACTGTCAACATTTACCCAAAAGCAAAGATGAGAAGGCAAGGAGAGGAAGGGAAGATTTACCCAAAAGCAAAGATGAGAAGGCAAGGAGAGGAAGGGAAGCTAGACCAATGGAAACAGAACAAACAGAATGGAAATAGCGAGAAGAGTGACACATTGTGAAAACTAACCAATGTCAAGGAATAATTTGTATAAAATTTGGTAAATGGGAACCTAATTTGCTGTGTAAACTTTCACCTAAACCACAATAAAATATTTAAAAAAAAAAACAAAAAAACTTTAGAGTAGCACATTGCCAGTCTTTTCTCCCACAGAGTGGCTGTTGGGTTTGAACCTCTGACGTTTCGGTTAGCAGCCCAGTGCCTAAAGACTACACCACCCAAACCAAACCAAACCCATTGCCGTCGAGTCAATTCTGACTCAGCTATCCTATAGGACAGAGTAGAACTGCCCCGTAGGGTTTCTAAGAAGTGGCTGGTAGATTCAAAATATTAGCAGCTGAACTCAACCACTGCACCACCAGACTTCACTGCACCACCAGGGCTTCTCATGACCAGACAGTTTAGTGCAAATATTTATAATAAGCAAATCAACATTTCAATTCCAATCATGAAAACTCCACCAACCCCGTACAAAAATAAGGATTTTAATTTCCTTGAATACTTATCCCTGGGTTCCTCAGATTTCAATTCACTGTGCAGAAAGGATAAACCAGTCTGGGGGTAAATCAGCATCTGACAAATGGTCATGTGAATTTAAATTCTGAACCTTGATGAAATGGTAAAAGTTATCATCTCCACATACCTTTGCTGTTTTATAATAGAGTCAAAACCAACAGTTTCTACAAGTTTATTTCCAATTATAATTTGCTCTTTTCTGTCTTCCTCTGGTCCATCTTCTAACACATAGCGGTTTTTAACTGCAGTAAGAAAGTCTACTCCGAAATTTACCTTGTTGGGACGGATAAAGGATCCCCCTGTTGCGTGCCTGGAAAAGGAAAGGAATGGTACTTAGAAGAAAATATTTTCCTCTAAGAAATCACCAACACATAAATCCAACAGTCTGAAGGTTTTCACAAATTTCTGTATGCTGGAAAAAATCAACAAAATCAGCATAAAAGGGAAAATGATATACTAAAGGAAAATTTATAATCAATATGATTGATCATAAAGTGTTATGAACTTCTGCAAGCATATAAAATCCCAATGGATAAACAGATAAGAAATATGGAATACATAACTCACTAACGATTAAAATAACAAAATGTAACTGGCAAAAAAAGAAAAATCAAAAATCATAAAGATTGCAAAGTTGAGTTTCTCTATAACTCTATAATCATACTCTTAGGAGATTTACCAGAAGGCAACAATTTAAAAATAAGAACAAATTATATTTACCAACATTTCATATAATAGCATTATTTGTAATTGAAGAACTCTAGAAACAATGCCCAGCTGGATAAGAACCATTAAGTAAAACAGACAGATAAGGAATATGATTACAGTCATTTAAAAATTCTAGGAACAATACTTATAAAATTACTTACAAAATAATGTTAAATTTTTAAAAAATGGAACACAAATTACACATGATACAACTACATAGGAACCATATCTACATATGGACAAAGACTGCATAAGGACACAAAGAAATGGAAACACTGTGGGTGACAGGACTATGTACAAAATCTTTTCGTTTTAATGATGACTTGAATCTAAACTAATAGTTTTAAAAGCTTAATACGGGGCTAAAAGAGAGCACATGGGAAGAATTCTACAGAAATATAGACAATTATACCATAATTTATATTGTTTTACAGCAACTTTTAATAATAATCTCTATCAGGATTTATTAAAATATTAATTATCTTGCAATATGTAATGAACATTTTCTCAGGCTTTGCCACAGATTCAAAACAGGTCTTTAGGGTCATTGAATTTCAGCATTCCTTATATCATAGTGATGACGTACTCATTTCAGGGAATTTCACAGTCTAGCTTTGGCTAGACTATGATAAAAGGTCATGGAGAGAAAGAGAGAGAAAGACTGACCCCATTTAGAGGAGACCTAAGGTCCCCCAGCCAACAACCAGTATAACGTCATCCAAGGTCATCTTGGATCATGAAGCCAACACCAATGGGAGCAGAGACAACCTGTCTCCACTAAGCCCTGCCAAATGCCTGACACACAGAATCATGAGCAAGAAAACGGTTGTGTTAAGCCACCAAGTTTTGTGGTGGTTAATCAGGTAGCAAGAGCTAACTGAAATGGATGGGGGTAAAATCACTATTATCACTAGCCTCTAACCAAAATTCAATATTCCTTCAATTATAAATACAGTCCACACACCACAGTACTTTGTAATATACAGAAATCACAAATACTTTCATATCACTTTACAGCTATTACAGATCTGTTACAGATCAAAAAAATAATTTATTTTCACACTACTCCAAAATTTAGTCATTACTAGACCTGTAGGTAGATCTTATTTTTTAATGTTACTTAATAAAGAAACATATATATTACAATGCCATAATTTAAAAAAAATTTTGACTACTGTATCTCAATGGGACTGGTTTCCTTTGTAATACTATGTATTTTATTTTCTGTTTTTAAAATAGTATTTTGTGCCAGCCAAAAAAACAACCAGGGCACAAAATGGGTTATGGACCCCTGGCCTAGAGTGGATTCCACAAAGAAGCAGAATCTGAGCTGGGCCTTGAAGGATAGGTAGAAGCTTGGTGGAAAAGTGGTGGTACTTCTGTCCTACCATAAGCAAGATCCTACATGTAAATACTCACAAAAATAAAGTAGCACAGCAGAAGCAGTACTACCGAAAGGATAGGCATCAAATAAAATACTTATAGAACCATAATGTTTTAATAAAACAATATGGTTTTAACAAAAGGTGCTTTTTCTGAAGAATATTACAAAGATCATTTCTAGGTTATCTCCTTTAATTTTCTATTATGATAGCACACAAACAGATCTTGTGTTTACTGACAACTAAATGTTATTAATGTTAAAACACTTTGGTTGAACAAGGCTGAAATAAATCCCAAAGTATGTTGTTAGATGTTGGAAAAATAATTCCAAACAATTCAGAACAGTAGTTTATATATCAATATATCTAAATGTGTACAAATGAGTTTTCTAAGAGACTTTATCTTCACTGTTTCTAGAGTCTCGCATGTATGAAATAGGTTTAATACTATTGGTTTTCCTTAGAGGAGTAACATGCAGGGGGTAGATTGAGAGATAGGAAAATCTATTTTTCTATTATTATGTGATTCAAATGAAAAAAAAAAAGTATAAGACCTCAAGTTAAAAAACAAGTACATGTACTATATAAGGATGATAAATGAGAAAATAACAATTCAAAACACAGACACCATGATTTTCATTATTGTCCTAAATTTATACTTTTTAAGATGGTGGTAATGAACAATTCAAGAAAAGATCTTTACTACCATTTAATTTGCTTGCAAGCAGATAGAAGGAGAGTTAGGAATGGTGTTAGGTAGTTGCAAAGCAGATGCTTATAGATCAAAGGCTAAGTAACATCAAAGATTAATCTCCTCTGGAACACTCCTGGCATGTTTCACAGAAAATAATGAAACATGCTAGCTGAAATGGGTGCCCATCAACAACAACAAATTTCCAAAAGATAAACTGTAATAATTTACACAGACTCCACTAGGATTTCAGATTAATAACAAGTTGCATCTAAATATTGAAAATGTGAACACTGCCTAAAGAGACAAAATACTGGCCAGGGGACAAGGAGGGAGGGAGGAAGGTCCAAAATGTTTCTCTTGCAAGCCTTCAGCTTGCTCAAGTCCTTCCTCCTTCTGTCCTCCAATTACAGATGTTGCCAGCAAGATCAACATCCTGACCATGGTCCTTACAGAAACTTGAGGGTCTGATGAAGCCCAGTTATCAAGATTTAATCTTCAGCAACAAAAAGACAAACAATCCAATTGAAAAATGAGCAAAGGACATGAACAGACACTTCTCCAAAGAAGACATTCAGGCAGCTAACAAACACATGAAGAAATGCTCGTGATCATTAGCCATTAGAGAGATATAAATTAAAATTACCATGAGATACCATCTCACCCCCAACATTGATGGCATTAATTAAAAAAACAGAAAACAACAAATGCTGGCGAGGTTGCGGGGAGCGTGGAACTCCTATACACAGCTGGCAGGGATGTAAAATGGAACAACCACTATGGAAAATGATGCCTTTTCCTTTTAAAAAAAAAAAAAAAAAAGCGTGGTGCTTTTTTTATGCTGCGTCCTTAAAAAGCTAAAAACAGAAATACCATATGATCAAGCAATCCCACTCCTAGGTGTATACCCTAGAGAAATAAGAAACGTGACACGAACAGACATACGTACACCCATGTTCACTGTAGCATTATTCACAATAGCAGAAAGATGGAAACATACACACAATGGAATACGACACAACGATAAAGAACAACGATGAATCTGTGAAACATTTCACAACATGGATGAATTTGGAGGACATTATACCAAATGAAATAAGCCAATCACAAAATGACAAATAACGTATACAACCACTATTATTAAAACACAAAAAAAAGTGCCAGAAGAAAGGAAATAATAAGAATTAGAGCAGAATTAAATGAAATAGAGAGCAGAAAAACAATCAAAAGAGTTAACAGGACCAAAAGCTGTTTCTTTGAAAACATCAACGAAATCGATAAACCACTGGCCAAATTGACAAAAGATAAACAGAAGTGGAAGCAAATAACCTGTATAAGAAATGTGAAGGGTGATATCACAACACTCAACTGAAATTAAAAGAATCATAACAGAATACTATGAAAAACTGTACTCTAACAAATCTGAAAACCTAGAGGAAATGGACAAATTTCTAGAAACTCACTACCTACTTAAACGAACACAAACGGAGGTAGAACAACTAACTAAACCTATAACAAAAGAAGAGATTGAAACCGTAACTTAAAAACTCCCAACAAAAAAGAACCCTGGCCCAGACAGTTTCACTGGAGAATTCTACCAACTTTCAGAACAGTTAACACCACTACTCCTAAAGGTATGTCAGAACATAGAAAAGGACGGAATACTCCCAAACTCATTCTATGAAGCCAGCATAACCCTGATATCAGAACCAGGTAAAGACATCACAAGAAAAGAAAATTACAGACCAATATCCTTCATGAACACTGACGTAAAAATCCTCAACAAAATTCTAGCCAACAGAATTCAGCAACATATCAAAAAAATAATCCACCATGATCAAGTGGGATTTATACCAGGTATGCAGGGATGGTTCGACATTAGAAAAACAATCAATGTAATCTATCAAATTAGTAAAATAAAAGACAAGAACCACATGATCTTATCAATTGATGAAGAAAAGGCATTTGACAAAGTCCAACACCCATTCATGATAAAAACTCTCAGCAACACAGGAACAGAAGAGAAATTCCTCAACATAATCAAGGGTATTTATACAAAGCCAACAGCCAACATCATCCTAAATGGAGAGAGTTTGAAAGCTTTCCCCTTGAGAATGGGAACCAGACGAGGATGTCCTTTATCACCACTCTTATTCAACATTGTGCTGGCGGTCCTAGCTAGAGCAATTGGGCTGGAAAAAGAAATAAAGGGCATCCAAATAGGTAGGGAAGAAGTCAAAGTATCTCCATCTGCAGATGATTTGATCTTATACAAAGAAAACCCCAAAGAATCCACAAGAAAACTACGGGAACTAATAAAAGATTACAGCAAAGTATCAGGATACAAGATAAACACAGAAAAATCACTTGGATTCCTCTACACCAACAAAGAATTTCGAAGAGGAAATTACCAAATTAATACCATTTACAATACCCCCAAGAAGATAAAATACTTAGGAATAAATCTAACCAGAGACATAAAAGACCTATACAATGAAAACTACAAAACGCTACTGCAAGAAACCAACA